GGGGGAGACTCTTAAGCAAGGAATTCTAGAAACCTGCAAGCAGCATCTGTTGTGACATATGCCACTAGCACTTAACCTTTCAAAGAAGTGCATTTTTGGGGGGGAGTGTCAGTGTGCAAATATATCTTGCAGTTTAGATGCCACCCTTTCAGATAGAATTCTCTGGTAATGTCTGATCTCCTCAAGCTTTGTCTACTTCCTTTTAGAAAAACTAGATCGTATAGAAGAAGGCATGGACCAGATAAATAAGGACATGAGAGAAGCTGAGAAGACTTTGACAGAACTCAATAAGTGTTGTGGTCTTTGCATCTGTCCTTGTAAAAGGTCAGTTGGTTCATATTTGGGTGCAAGTTCTAGGAGCCTACAAAAAATATCCTATTGGGGAAAGGGAGAGTCGACACTAGTAGTTAAAATTCCCTAGAGGCATCTGATACTTATGAATAGCTTGTTGAAATAGTACTCTTCACATACTAGTAGCTAAAACGTGCCTGTAGTAGCCATTTGTTATCTTGACTTTTTGGATGATGGGTATTAACATATTTGTATAGCGTCTTGCACAATGGAATGCTAATCTGCTTTAAGCTAATAACTTTGCATTGGAAGGTGGCATCTAAAAACCACTCCCTCTCCAAAATATTTCTCTACTGAAGGCCCCCCCACCCAATCCTCCTAAGTGGAGGTGGGGAAAAAGGTCTAGCATTTAATAGAAATTGCATGTTGTACACTGCAGTGGGAGCGGAGAAAGGAAAAGAGGAATAAGCTTTGGTCTATCGGTTTTAATCTTTCTCCAGTTTCATTTGTAATACTTCATTTGTTCATCAGTGTTGCTACCAACCTATTGGAAAGTGTCAGGTAATAAAAGGCTTTTTCTGAAATTGGCTAAATGGCACTTCTGTTTGCTTAAACATTCTACAGCAAAAAGTGAGGTGAAGAGCAGAGCATTGCTGACTCTAGGTAGGTTAATTGGTATTTAAAAATGTGTAATTGAGTTGAAACTATACAAAGAAAGTAGTGGTAGGGGAAAGAAGAAATTCTCATGCATATTCTTCCAATGAACTTGTGTATACAGTCTTCATTCTCATGGTCCATTGATAAAAGCCAAAAGAAGCCTGATATGAAAGATTGTGAATCAGGTGGATTAACTCCAAGTTAAAATACCTCAAGATAACAGCCTGTGCTCATTCAGATCATAATGTTAAGTGACCATTCTAGATTAAAATGGAAAACTATTTCCAATTCTGAAGGTTCACCTTATTTTATAAATCTGAAATTAATAGCTCTGGCCTGTAGTTTAGGTCAAAGTTGTTGTCTCAAAATATGATTTCACTTGGATATCTTCCTTCTTGGCAGATTTCTAGGTTTCACACATGTTGCTCATTGCAGTCATAGGCAGTGAGCTGGTATCTTTTCACTGACATCCTCTGTTAAATACTATCTCATGCTGTGTTTAAAGCATTTTTGTAGCAGTTCCAAATATATTAACTGTGTAAGATGACTGACCTAATGAAGTGCCTTAGGTTTTGGTATGTGTGGTGAGAAATAGATTAAATGGAGGAAGATAAAAAGCTATCAGCTCTTCAAATCCACTTGGTACAGTCCTTTCATCCCAAATTCCACTGAGTGATAGATTTTGCACAGATATACATCACTGGGAATAACTTCTCTTTTTCTCCTTCCCTCACTTGAAGACTGCTTTATAAATATAATTTTTTTTGTTTTGTTTTCTTCCAACATGGAACCTTAGCTGTACTCTGAAAAATCTGTGTCACTAACAACTGTTTGCTTGTTTGGTCTTTACTGTCTCTTTTCTCATTCTCTCCTAACACCCTCACTTACTTTCTAAAAATGAAGACTAAGTACGAGAAGCTGGATTCGATTAACTGGTGAAAGTGGATTTTAAGACAAGGGCACCCTGTACTCTTAACCAGCTGTCTAAGGTGATGTTCTAATTGGATGCACACTTGCATGTGCATGCTGTATGCATGCAAGAAGTCTCGTGTCTGCTTTTGTGTTGTAATATTGATGTTTGTTTATAGACAAGAATATATGCTAGGGAATGGGTCAGTCATAGCAGCCTGTTAACCCTAATCCAGCTGGCTGAACCTGGGCTGTAAATGCTAGAGTTTTACTGTGTCACTGCAGATCTTGAGCATATTGGCTTTCTTCAGTAACTATAGTAGCTTTTTAAAGGATGTTGGTTAGGTTGTTGTTTGTTAACTGCAGACTTGCTCCCTCTCAAGTTCCTTCAATGAACACAGTAAGTTTTGAGAAGAAGCTGCTTTTTCTGTCGGCCCCACAACTCAAGGAAAATGGTTCCTGGACTCTTGCATGATCTGAGAGACGCTCTACCCTTCTGAACCCTATACCATCCCACTGAAGAACTAAAATGTTAATTATCCCTTTACCTAATATGTGCACCCCCATGCAGAAGTGAGTTTCTTCTTGTATGAATAGGAATTAATGGACATGTCTTAAAGTGAATCGGAGTACAAAAAGGAATCAGATTTGTAGTAGGGCTGCATCTCAGTTTGGAGGTAGTTACCAGTTACTGTGTTTTTATTTAAGTTTCTTTCCACTGTTTCTGTTGAAGATGCATGGTTCTATTAAGGGTTTGTTTTTGTTTTGTCTTTTTTATACCAGTTAGACTATTTCTGAACATCATGATTTACTCCGTGATCCAGGAGTAGCAAATAACTTAAGTCCATTCTGTTTGACATGGGCATCTCCTATCATAAAACCTTAAATGAATTGCAGAATCAAGGAGAAGTTGTGAAATGGAGTAGACTTCTTCAGTTGGACCAGATTTGGATTCCCAAGTTTGCTTCTTGAAAAGATATTTTTGATCATTCTGACTTGTTCAGGGTCATAGCCAATGCAAAATAGGTTTTTTTGCTGCTTTGCTCATCTGCAGTCCTAGTGTTATTACAGCAAACAGTAATTAAAATCTGAGGGAGAGGGTTTTTGGTTGGTTGGTTGTTTTTTTTTTTTTGTTTTTTTTTTTTTTCCCCCCCCCCAAAAAAATAATTTAAGGCCTGATTTCATAATAGCTCTTCTTTAGATTAGAGGGCTGCTTTCTCTTGCCCATCTCCAAATCTCTCTCTCCTTTATTCCAGCGCAGCACAAAGTGTGGATGCAGTTATAACTGACATAAGAGCATTTTAAGCTTATTCTTTTCTAGTATAAGCATTTAGGCTGCACTGATGGAAGTCTTACAATCTGTATTAGCCTGATCTCTTGTCTAGATGGTCACAATTGTTGCTTCTGGTCTGTCTGATTGCACTGATTTTATAATAGTTATATTGGGATAAGTTATAGTGCTTTCACTTTTTTATTGCTTTCTATGTTGACAGGGTGGAAGTGACTTAGGGGAACCAGGTCTATAAAAAGTTAACAATCCCCTGGCTTGTGTACCTAAACAAGGAGGACATACAAAAAAACTAGAATTCTTGGTTCCAAAATTATCCCTTTTTATTAGACCAAGTGGAAAATGGCAAGAAAATTGTCCTTTTCTGCAAGCTTTTGGGATCAAAGTTCCTTTGTCAGGCTTCTGGGAAAAGTGTAGATGGTACAAGATGGTAAAAAGTCCCCATAGGTAGGAAATAAACTTCATTTTTGCACAGAGGGAGCTGAAGATGGAAGGCTATCCCTCCGGGTCCATGAGAGTGTCTTTGTGAGCTGTGTTGAATAGCTCTTTGATGTGTTGATCAGGTAGAATTCCTTCCCTGAAGGTGTCAGATGGCAGGCAGGGAGGCAAAAAATGTTCTGCAATGAAATTTAAAATACAAAATCAAGGAGGATGCAGCCAACACTTCCTGTACTAAATCAACACCTTTTTTTCTTGTAAGGACAAAGAACTTTGAATCTAGCAAGGCATACAAAACAACCTGGGGTGAAAGTTCAGAGATTACAACAGATAACGTGGTAGCCAAGCAACCAAGACGTGTAAATCAGAACCAACAACAGACGGCTGGAGGAGCAGGCGGGGGATATGTTACACGGTATGTTTGTCTATCTCTACATGCCCAAATGAATTCAAGTAGTGACTAGATATGTAACCTAGTGCAGGGGTCAGCAACATTTTTGGCCAGACTGCCAAACACACCAGCCTCCACACATGCCTTGATTTGACATGCTGGAGGCAGATGGCAGGGGAGCCACAAGGGGCCCAATCCTTGTTGCTGGCAATGGGTGCACATATGCCTCTGGGTGGATGGTAGGGGAATGGCCAATTTTGTGCTGCCCCAGCCCCATCCCTGACATGCACCCCAAGAGTTGCGTGCACCTGCTGCTGCCCTGGAGCAATGCAAGAGCTCCAGACCTTGCTGCAACTGTTTGCAGCCTGCCTGCCACCTGCTACAGCTGCCCAGAGACCAGGCCAACTGTGGCAGGCAGCTGGAAGGCTGCAAACAGCTGCATCAGGCTCTGGAGCCCCAGCCAGGCTCTATGGTCATGTGCATGCAGCTGTGCTGCCACCATGGAGCCTGGCTGGGGCACCAGAGCTTGGTGCAGCTGTCTGGCTAAGCAGCCTAGGTGCCAGCCATGGAGCCCAGGCTGCTTGCAGTAGGACTTGAAGCCTTTCTGCTACATGCTGCAAGTAGCCTGGGCTCCATGGTTGGTGGCAGCTGCCTAGAGCCTGGGCTAGCTGTGGCATGCTGAACAAAATGGCCTTGCCCTGCCATGTTCCTGCATGTGCCAGGGGCTGCTGACCTCTGTTCTAGTGCTGATCAGAAAGGGGTTGCTTTTGCTTGATGACTTCCATATAGTTTCACTTTTCATAGCATTTGAAATAAAGAGAATACCAATTACTGTTCTCCTGTTTCTGGATGGAGAGGATCAAAAGTGCAGCGCTCTAACTTTTTTCTAAATGCATAGCTACTATTGTAATGCTTAGTCTGAGGATTGTCCTTTTGAATTTTGAGGAGTCTTTTAATGAAACTGCGTCCACTTTAGCAACATGAAATCAAGAATGAGGTTGAAAGCTTGATTACATGGTACTAGATAATTGCAGACCCCTTGACTTGGAAATAAAGTTTGTAATGACTCGTGTGTTTTTTAGTGGGCAATCCCAGAATAAAATCTCAGGTGGGGAAGCAATTTCTTGGTTCCTGAACACAGCTTTCTCCCTTGATAATCAATAGGATAACAAATGATGCCAGAGAGGATGAGATGGAAGAAAATCTGACTCAGGTGGGAACTATCCTAGGGAATCTAAAACACATGGCTTTGGATATGGGCAATGAGATTGATTCACAGAACAAACAGATAGACCGGATAAATGAGAAGGTAAGAGCCAAGGAGTCCTGTCCCTGCCACCTTCACCTTTTTGACCTAGTTGGAAAGATAAAATAATAAGGAACTGTTTAAGTAAATGGAATTACCTTTGTGCTTTATGATGCATTTTACCACTGCAAGCATCTTGATGGTAGTGCACTAAACTCTTACTACCAATCCCTGAATATAATCTATAACTTGTAACAATGCACTTCCAAACTGTGTGCTGTCAATGTTGGGATCAACGTTCTAACTGATTAATCAAAATGAAGTACTTCCAAGAGTCAAACATCAATCAGACTGTAGAATTGGATGCTTAGAGAGCTGTTCATCCACACTAAGTTGGGAGGAAACTTGCTACAGTGGGGGTTTTTTCTTGCAGCAGCATGAGACTTCTAGTACAATTTCTTTGCAATGCACAAAACTTGCTCATAGTCCTCTAACACACAATATTACTCTTTTGAGTGTGGTGTTGTTGTTTTAAACATCATTTTCTCTAAATGGCAAAGAGAAAGTAAATGGGGATGTCTTATTTACTGTTTCTACCAAGATGAGAACTAGGGGTCATAAGAAGAAACTAGTAGGTAATGCATTTAAAACTAACAAAAGGAAGTCCTTTTTTCATACAGCATGTAATTCAAATGTGGATCTCCTTGCCACCAGACATTGTGGAAGCTGGCAGTGTAGCCAGATTCAAAAGGATTGAACAAATTCTTGGAGGAAAGGAGTATCAGTAGCTGTTGAGCATGGGAGTGAGGGGCACAAGCTCAGAACTAGAACTTCATAGACCCTAAAAATGCTGGAAGCTGCAAATGAAAAACAGGGTGGGGGGAGCCCTGCTCATACCCAGTTCACTCTCCCTTTTCAGCATCCAGTCATTACCACTGACACAGGAGACTAGCAAGATGTACCTATGGTCCAACCCAGTAAATGGCAATTCTCATGTTCTTATTAAGATGAACCGATGATGAATTTTAAGCATTTAGTAGCTTTTATGGGTGCAAGTTAGGATGGCGCAAGCTGAGTGTTCCAAAAATAGGAAGGTGTTGAGCTCTTAATTGGTGCTTTAAAGTTGCACCACCTCTTTCTCCCTGCACTCCAGTTCAGCAGTCACCAAGAAGTGATGGATTTCACCCTTTAAAATCCATGCTAGCTAAAAAGGGAAACAAAAGTAATAATAATATTACACATATATATAATGAGAACTGAAAAGGGAAGCTGATAATTGCTTGCAGCTTGATTGCTAGCTAGCAAGAAGGGAACCTGAAAGTCCTTAACCACAACCAAAGGGTCTTAATAGTACAAGAAGAAATACAAAGGTGATTTACACCAATTACAGGTTTTGTACCCAGGGAAGAATTAAAAAAACACCAGTCAACCTGGTTCAATATAATGTGGCTAACAGTAAATACAACTCTCCACGTTCCCTGCTTTATACCTGTAGTATAAGTTTTGGCAGTATTGCCAGTATGCAGCTCTGACTGGTGGTCAAAAACATGGCTAGTTCAAAAAGTGTTTTAAAATAGCTAGGAACAGGAAGGGTTTGTCCTTCAGTGAGACATGAAGGAGCTGTCTTATGGCAATGACCTGTTTACTGTCTGTTTGGGGAAAGATCAGTTATTTATAAAACCTAAAAGTGTGTTTCTTTAATTTGAGATGGTCAGAACAAGAACCAATGGCTGGACAGTGAGGCTAGAACAACTTTTTGGAGACCCAACACTTTAAATCCTAATTTGGATGTCTAAGTATCTTCTGGACTATAGAATTTCATGGGCTCCTTGTAGGCCTCGCTGATGTAACACTTTGGCTTGTGTGTGGGGTGTGGCTTGTTTTTTGGGGGTTTTGTTTTGGTTTTTAAATCCAGGTGGTTAGGTTAGATTAAACTTGTGTCGTCTGACAGTGACTTTTAGCTTGTGGGGTTTTTTTAATTGGTTTATACAGTCCAAGCCCCTAATATGAAAAAAGTGTGTTTTAAACAGTGAAGTTCCTGCAAAGTTATTTCCTAAACCCTATCCTACCTCAGCTGCTATCAGAGAAACAAAGTATTGTGGAAAGCCACTTACCTTACTAGTCACTGAAGTAAGCTTAGAGGAAAATCCTTGTCAGATTTCCCTATATAATTTCTCCCAGCTCCTCTAAAGCCTCAAGAGGATGGCTAGAGTGATGAAAGAGAACTAATACAATCTTTCTGCCCTTTTGCAAAACTACAAGCCACTACTGAGTCAACAACAAAGGCTTCCCATTTCCCTTCTACGAATCCAAATAGTAGCACAGCGCAGTTCTGTGGACCAGCCTATGGGGTGGGGGTGGACTTTGAATTTAGTATGTTAATTTTGCTTGGCATAAAGTCTTCCAGTTGCCTGTTGTTCTTAAACATGCTTTTTATGTTTCAGGCGGATACCAACAAAGATCGCATTGAGCATGCCAATGTCAGAGCCAAGAAACTCATTGATAGCTAAAGCCTGCTGCCATTGTCCAATATCTTTCTCCAGCTGCAAGCCACCATTTTCATGGATCTGTGAAACTTCCTGTATCTCAGAATAAAAAGGGCTGTGAAGAGTGAAAAGGAAGCTGCTTCATTAGGGTTTCCCTTTTCTTGGCCTTGTATTCAGACTTGGCTTTGACTTCTCCAGCAAAGTTGCCAACCTAATTCACTCTTCATAGAAAAGAATTGATCCTGTTTTAATCTCATTTTAATTCAGCCTGTGCAGGGCTTGCTTTCACAGCTTTCGGTTTTTGGTTTGGTTCCCCCCCACCTTTTTTACTCTTAATATATTCCTCATCCCTTCCACTGCACAAACTGTTCTGTTCCATTTGGGGAAAATGGTGGTGTAACATGAGTTAACACTTGTGGAAAGGTTGGACAGGGCACTTCATATGCTTTACGTTCCTTTGAATTACCTCAGAGTTGTCTACCCTCACTAAAATAAGGGCTTGATTCTTATGTCTGGTATTTCTTAATTTAGCAGGCTAATCCATAGTTTTGCAGGTGGTTGGTTTAACTTCCAAGCAATTTATGAAAGGTTTTGGGGGGCTAAGTTTGAACTATCAGATTTAACAAGTTATAGTCCAATGGCTACTACATTTAGGTTGAGGGCTTTAATACATATTTGTTTAAACACAAATTGTAATGTTAAATTAAATTTGAGGGGTACACAGGCTTTAATCCATCACTTTACATTAAGGAAAAAAGAAATGGCATGGTTAGCAACTTCTGCTGCATTTTTTTTCCCTAGCAATTATATCACAACTTTTTTAAGTAGCCATAAAGCTTTGGACAACTTCAAAATGAATAGAACTATCTGAGCTCACAAGAGGGACTTCAGACTGAATATATAGTAAAGCAGACATCTTGTACTTGTATAGATCTGTGTCAAATGTAATCCAGTGCTGTATCAAAAATCTCAATGGGGTTTATATAAAGGCTTTTGTTCCCCTACAGTGGCTCTGGGGCAGCTTTTTAAATCTCTGAATCATTATAATGGAAGAAATATCTTCTGAAGTCTGACAGACTTGTTCTTTTTAAAGCCTGTGTAAGAAGTCATCCTACTGAAGTATGTACACGTTATCTTCCCACCTAATCTAAATGATAGGTAATAGCTGTCACAGTCGAAACTGCTTTTTGGAGTATATCAGGCTGAATTGTTACTTGGCAACAAATTTACAATAAGTGACTAACATTTTAAATCTTTAGTTTGTAGCAATGTTTCTTGAAAGAACAAATATTTCATGAACTACTTTTCTTTTCTCCCTTGTTCTGGGAACAATTTGCTTGCTCTAGTTCTGCTGTAATAAACCAGCTTAGTGATCAGCCTTTAAAACGTATAGTGGGAAATGAACCAAATCCAAGTGGCTTACAACCAGAACGTTCCAGTTTTTCTGTAATAGAGGAGTAGCTATCTGGGTTGGAAAGGGATTTGTTGTTCCTATGAACAGATTGTTCATGTTTTGTTTTGCAAATGCATTTAATCTGCTCTTCCCAGTGTTCTCCTAAAAGTTTAAAACCACAAGTGGATTGTTCCAGGAGTAGAGAAAGCTGTTATAAATCATTCATAGACTGAAGTGGATACTAATATGTAACCTAAGCTGTGATATTCAGTGCTAGCACTTTGCGGGAAAGGGAGGGTTCTGCACAAGTCACTTGAGGATTCCATACGAAACACTTTTTCCAGTAATTGAGTATTTGCAGCCTTTAGAAAATTCTGGGCTAAACCTAACATGCAAAAATGTCACAAGATGGGTAATTTTGGTCACACATTAACCAAATATTAGGTATGTAACATACTCTAACTAGCATTTTTTAAGCCACTTCAGGGACATCTTGCTGCAAACAAATCCTGGCCATGAAAAATGAAAGCGAGACGTAACTAGAAGGCTAGATAAAACACTGTGGAAAATCTAGTATTAGCTTGGTTCATGATGCCAATTTTCACTGATAATGGATACTTCTTGTGGTTGTATGTTGACTTCTGAAAGAGCTGGAAGGATGCCCACATGGGTAGCAAAGTAGTACTCAGAAATACTGCAGGCTCCTACAAGCTCTTAAACAGCGCATGGGAAAGTGTTGGGTTTTTTGTATTTGTGTTGCTTTATTTGTTTTAAAGGGATTTGAATACCTAAGATCCTCCCCACCCCCCTCCACTGTAAGTCTGTTAGTTGGAAAAAAACCCAAAACATTTCATGTAAACAGCGTTTTGGGCTTTTGTTCACTTCAGCAATGATGTTCTGCTCAGGATAGGAAACTCAATAGTTTCTTTAGTGCAGGGCCACAGATCACAGGATTCCCTGTGTACCTGTGAGCTGGATCTAACCTGTAGGCCAGGGGTTGAGCACCCCTGTTCTAGAACTTCTTCTATGATTCCTTTGGAATACTCTACTTCCCTTTTCCCCTCCCATCCCCCACTACTGAAAAAAAATTTTTTTTTACCTGTTTGACTTCCCATGCTGCTGTTACAGAAACTAAATATGTTAGCTATGAAGACTAGTACCATCAGTGATGCACAAAAATGTAATATTGCAGGTTAAAACAGTTTCCCATGTGACACTGCTTGTGTTTATACAGCTCACCTGGGACCTAATTACTGTACAACCCTTGTGCCAATGTGACAGCACATGGATACAGCTTGATTAACTAACAGAATATCAGTGTTTTCATGTTGTACAGAACTGGGGCCTTGAAGGGGTTAGGGCACTGATGTGTCAAAGCTATCTACACACCAATGGTTTGCTTCTCATTTTTGTTGGCCTAAACTGTAATAATTTCATCGTATGTACTAGATAGAATAAAAGTTATTTATGTGCATATTTTCTTTTTATGTCAAGTACAATTCTGAATAGCATACAGAATGAAACTTCTTTTATGGTTGGTTTGCATCATTAAGCCATTATGTATGATAAAATACAGAACTTTAATCATCTTACCTTTGGGAAAACTTGGCAGAACCAATTCCCAAGGTCTCACTCCTTTTCCTCTCTCGCATGATTCTTGTTCTAAGGTGCTTTTGCACAGCTGTAGCTGGCTGTGGTTACTTAAACAAAATATCTGCCTCCACATCCTCAAAGGTTTGTTATACAATGATGAAGCGGAGCTAAACCATTCTATTTACTTGCTTGATGAAGATGCATACATAACAAATGATCCGTGATGCAGTTCAGATGATGCCTAATGGCTTACCTGCTTTCCTATACATCCTTGGAAGTGATCCACACAGCTGCATGACAAACAGTATACTATTTTGCAATAATTCTTAGTGGATTTCTAATGCAATTCTAGTTTGCAAAGTTTGTTGATGTAACAACAAATGCAGAGACAATAAGTAGCTTCATTAAAAAAGAAAAATGGTGTGAAAAAACTGAGGTAAGGTGAGAGCACAAGAGTGCATAACTAACTCTCCCCTCGATATTCCCACTGCAGAGTTGTTTGCCCTACAAGCCACAGCTAGCGCTTGAGGTGGTGTCACAGAGCTAAAATAGCAACATATTGGTTAAATATTTTTATGGGTAAATGTATGACAGTAAAGTAGCTGCAGAGCAATGAAAAAAGGATAAGTGAAGTGGGTCAAAGAGTGGGGTAGGGGAAGAATGACCTGAGGCACCCATATAGAGTAAATACTCTTATTAAGATAATGCAGTATATGCTACTGTAATTCAAGGATGTACATAAGTCCAGGGCTGGACTTTTTTTCAACAGCAGGTAGCATACCTAGAAATTCTTCAAGCATCTCCAAACTTATGAGAAGGGCTGTTTACCTTTGCGATAAGATAGCTTTCTCTTGCCTCCTGTAGGAAAAGTATTTATGTGAAATTGCCAGAAAATGAGTTATTTATATTTATGCTACTAAGTTCTGCTACTTGAAAACTTTTTCATGTGGTTGCAGCTATATTAATTGAAGAGGGATTCTCACAGCTTTTCTGGCAAAAACAAACAAACAACCCTCCACTAGCCTATGGGGGTGCTAGCATTAACACTACAGCTCTATCTGATAATGCTTAAGGTGGAATATACCTGAAACATTTAAGATTCCTTGTTCATAATTTTATGAAGAAAGTTAAGGAATGATGGGCTGTCCTCTTACCCATTTTCTGCTGCATAAGTACTCCTCTTTGTCTCAGCATGAACAGCTGCAATTATAAGTTAGACGGTTAAAAGAGCAGTGATGCCCACAGTTTTGGCCCCATGGGCCAGCTGAATGGAGTGGGGCTAGCCTGCAGGCTATCTGCTGCACCAACATGCCCCTCACCACCTCTGCACCAAGCAATGAAACTACCTCCTACTTACCTGAAGTTAACAGCTTGCTTGAATTACATGCACTTATTTTTAAAAGGGGGTTGGGGGGGGGGAGTTGTACAGTATTTCAGCTGTAGCTTCTGTATTTAACCCTAATAGTACTGGTATGGTAAGACTTGATTCACCCCAATTAATGCTGAGTTTTTCCAATCTACCTGCAGATTAATTAAATGAGTTATTTTTCCATGAGTTATAGCAGTTATGTACTTGTCACCCAACAACCTCTTATCACTAGTGCTTGTAGAACTTTTATTATTTCATAAAATACATAGCTAGTACTATTCTCTCCATTGCCTTTCATACTTCAAGTTTGCTTCTTAGTAGTTCTACACTGAGAGCAAGCAATTTTCCTTGTTAAAGGACAGTATGAATTTTGTCCCTCTAAGCTACAGCACTGGTAGCACATACTTAAGATGGAAGGGAGTGTGGATTTCAGGGAACACTGATTAGATACTAATTCATGCTTGGAATAAGTCATACAAGGACAGTGCTCAAGTTTCCCCTTAGTGAGGCACTCCTGAAAAATGAATGCGTGTTCTAAGCTTTAAAGGGCAGGGAATTCATGGTAGCACCTGACTTTAATTGGTAGTCATTTTTTTTTTTTTTTAATTTCAGTCTACCCACCTATCCAAGCAAGATTAACTGAAGTTCAGTGCTGTTTTAACTTTCTATGCATTTTTTAATTCCTAACTAACCTTATTTAACAGGCCTCTGAGAGGACTTAAATATTGCCCATCATTTGCACTGTGCCTGTCCCTCCCTTTAAGTGCAACTAGTTCACATCAGCTGCAGAAGTAATATTAATATCTTACTATGAAAATGTGCTTTGATGGAATACCACTTCTGTTTCTACATGCAATAGCAGTTAGTTAAACTTGCTACTCAAGCTACAGTTAATATCTACCAATCATTTTCTCTTTTTGAAAAGCATGTCTATTTTGTCAGTTTTAGGTGTAGGCTTCCTTCAAGATTGGGTAAAACACAAAAACAAGTACCCTTCAATAAAAAGGGCTTATAGATAAGTTTGTAAAAAACATGCATTGAAGTGGGAGATTTCAAATGGAATTAAGATGTATAGTTTTTTTTAAAGGGTTTTACTAAAATAAGCAAATGCATAGCTATCATTTTAGTGCCAGTTACATACAATTGCAAGATCTTGCTGAGTGCTTTTGGTAGTAAGGCAGCTGTAAAAAGGTGAAGAAAAAAACTTGACGTGGCTCTGCAGAAAGTATTAAATCAGTGCAAGGATATCAACTTTTCTGGCAAAGTATATTTTACTAAAGATATTGAGAATCTGTCGAGTAATCATTAAATACTGCTTAAGAAGAAAGGAACCATAGTGCAATTCTATCAGGTAGAAGAGAATCTCTACAACAGTTTAAATGACAAAAAAGAATGCTAGAGACATCATTTGATTTTAAAAAGCAATTAATATAAAATACTTTAAATAAATTAACTGCATTAACTCTTTGTGCTTCATAAAGTGTACACAATTTTAAGAAGTGTTACGACATGTGAAAGTTAGCTTTATCCATACCAGTAGACATTTACAGCAAGTATGCCACTTTGGAGTTGTGTTGGTAGTAGAACTTCAGCTCATTCCCACACAAGTGTTTCAACAGAAGTAGCTCAACTAACCTAAAGCAACACCTGAAAGGGGAATTAATAATTGTTGTGTAAAAAAAAAAAAAAAAAAAAAAAAAAAAAAAAAAAAAAAAGCTTATGACCAACACCTGAGCTCAGCCACCAGTGAGAATTGCATTCCCCTTATCTCCTGCTAAAGTCATTGTGTGCCCTGAAAAAGGAGAATAAAGTGAACTGAAAGCTATAATAGCCCAGAAGTAGAAACCAGCCTTTAGGCAGATTTACCAGTTCAATGCCCGTATTTGTTTGAAGCATCCTTGGCAACAACCTATCATTTTAGTGTGAAGCTAATATGGTCAGTCTCATCTCGTCTTGGAAGTCCTCTCCTGCCAGGCAGCCAGCATTGCTGATTACACTGCTTCACTTGCTGCCTTTTTCTTTCTGGTGACAAACCCGGAATGGCAAA